GATTAAAATGCAGTGGTTGCCTCTAATTTTAAATGGAAAGAGCACAGACAAAGCCTTATTTTGTTTATATGAAGATATTTATTTTATTTGTGTTACTTATTTAATTTGGGGCTTGTTTTAAAATTTCAATTTAGTTTATTTACATTTACATTATATTTTTTTTTTGTCATTTAGCAGACGCTTTTGTCCAAAGCGACTTACAAATGAGGACAATAGAAGCAATCAAAACCAACAAAAGAGCAGTAATATGCAAGTGCTATATTAGTATATTACTATAGTGTTATATTTCAAGTTCACAAAGAAATGTGCAGCATTTCGTCCAAGCAATAATAAAAGGACACATTTAATTTATAATTTGTCTTAAATCTCATTTTGTTAAAAAAATAATAATAACCGTGAATCGAATCGAATCGTGAGTTGAGTGAATCGTTACATCCCTAAAAAGCACACAACAGTTCCATAATCTTTATTTTTTATTTTTTGGTGTGTCTCTGTGATACTAAGTTTAGTCTTACCTTCAGCCATACGCTCATGATCGGTCAGATCCAGTTTTTTTTTCTCTCTCACCATAAAAGATAATCTTCCTCTAGCCCCGAGTGAGAGGAAAGTCTTTTGTACCTGTCCGATGTCATGCTTCCGTGTTCCAGCAGCAGACGTCTTTGATAAAAGTTTTCTGATTTCTTATATACTCCCAAGTTCAGTTTTCACACACAGTGACACGGACTCTCTTTTTTCTGAAGCGATTCTGATGTAACATATTTTGACAATGTCATATCTGAAAACGTACCAACATGGAACTTTAAGGATAACTATTGTGACTCACATTTTTACTTCTTTGTACCTTCCAGTAAAGTAAAAAAAAAAACATCCTTAGATGTGTGTCTTTGTAGTAAAATATTCCCGTAAGAAAAACCTCTACAAGAACAAAGTGCTATCCTGCTATTTTCTCTATAAAACCACAGTTTTTGGTGGAATCTCAGAGTTAAAGGGACAGTGCACCCAAAAATGCTAATTTTGCCATCAATTCTGCACCTCACACAAAAGCAATCGTATTTATTTAGAAGGCACGAAATAGTAGTATGGACTACATTTATGGTGCTTTTTTGTCCCATTCAGAGCTTGACATTCAAAATCCCCATCCACTTCCATTGTGAAAAGTTGCGGCAAAATATCTCCTTTTGTGTTTCACAGAGGAAAGCAAATCATACACATTTAGAGTGGCATGAGAGTGAGAGTGACAGAATATTCATTGTTGGGTGTACACTCCCTTCTCTATGGTTTTCAAGCACTGAAACCCTGGCACCTGCTCGAACTGGAGTTTCCAAAGCACTGGAACACTCGAGTATCATTTGTAACGCTTTAATTGATTTGGGACTCTCTGGTATCTCTGTAGGGATGCAGTGGACACATGGACAGCACATAGTGGATAGGGACACAGACAGAAGGACAGACGGGGGTCTCGCCCAGATCAGCAGTACAGTACAGAACAGAACAGTATGACCTCTTAGTCAGCGCCTTCAGGTTTATGCCAGCAGGAAATCCTCGACCCCGACATTGGTGAGTATTTATGTTACATTTCAAATCAAATCTAGTGGAAAAATGGGTCCGTTTTTTTAAAAAATGTAACAATTTTCGCTTTGAGTTCAAACATTAGGAAGCAAAAGGCGGGGGACTCGCAGAGGGGTGTTTAATATACGGCTGTCCATCTACTGTTACAGCAAGTTGGGCTGCACAGAAATATACATATATAAATCTTTATGTATATTTGCCATGTTTGGTGATGAGACTGAAATTAATCGCAACGTAAAAAAAGGAAACCAAATAACCAAGAAACAATCCAACAAACGGTACAGGAAAAAAAAAAAAAAAGGGAGAAGGGAGATTAGGTTAACAGCAAAGACAGAGAAACCAGAAAAATCTAAACAGCTAAACGCAAAGTCCTCAAATTACTTTTATCTTGTTTGTCAAACTAATACATTTATCCACTGAAGGTGACTAAATACTTCTAAATCGTCTTTATCATGGTGACTGCACAATACTTAACTAAATGAAACTTACCGCTGTTGTAAAGACTCTTCGTAAAGACAAACGGCATTACGTATTTAGAAGCCAAAAGGAAAACTCCTCGACCCTCTTTCCGAGAAAGGAAACGAACAAAAGGATAAGGAAAGCAAATATTGATGTGAAGAATTAAGAAGAGGAGGCTAAAGATACCAACGCCAAAGTTCTTCTAAAAAAAAATCTTTATATCAAAACCTAACGTTCTGGACGCCAACTAGAAATCAAACTCGGGAACCAGTCGCTGTCGGCCCCTGGCTGGGGCCGCGCAGCGTGTCGGATAGTTTTTTTTTTCTTTTTCCTTTAATTGCCAGTATAAAAAGTTCCACTGGTACAAAAGGCATAAGTACAATCAGTGATAGAAATAGGAAAGCCTGCTTTTTTTTGTACTTTTTAAATTCCCATCCAACGACAGATTTTCAAAGTGTTGTCAAACAAACATGTATCACGCTTACACAATCCACTGAAATGCATCGACTTTGGCTTTTCTCAAGACAATACTTAAAACTATTGAAATCGTTTTTTTTTTTAGAATCAAACGAAATGATATTAATCTACAGACGACAAGCTTTTGTTACGGCACATTAGATAAACACATACATTTCCAAAAAACTTGACATAAGCCAAAATGCAAAGAAACTACACATCTTTTTTTTTTTTTCTCTCTTTAAAATACACTTGTTAAATAGCACTTAAGAGAAAGAAAGCAACTAAAGAAACAGATTCCAGATGCGTGGTGTGTAAAACCCCTGAGTTGAAGAGTCTCAGCGAGAACTCCTTGCGAGTTTGTGCTTTACTAAACATCTGACAAATGTGTGTGTGAAATTGTGCTGGCCGTGAAAGCTTACCCTGTTCGTCTGAAGTCGATTGTGATGAAGTGTGATAAACGAAACAGAACACGGAGATCGATAATGCACTGTGCTGAGGTAAAAACACTTGAGCCGAACCGCAGTTCATTACAGAGTGATATTACATCAAGTCAAACCAATTAAATGAGGTCAAACAAAGATGCATTCCATGAAAAAGTCTTGCGAACAAAATTTTCAACAACTTTCTGGAAGCGTAAGGAGTCGTCAATTTTAATACTGCGTGTTCTAACGCTGTGCTAGTGCGCATGTGCTTTTGTGTTTGTGCTAGTGGTTGTACGATTTGGCAAAGAGAACAGTATATCATAAACTGACTGACTCGAACGTCCCAATACGAAACTTGCTCATTAAGGGGTAAATTACAGAAAAAGAAACATCTTCATTTTTTTGGGGCCTCTTTCATGAAAGACAAGCAGAATGAATTTCTGTATAAACCATTCATACAAAAACTGTCACAGTTTTACAAACAAGTAAAGAGTGTAAAAATAACCATAGGTCACATTACAGAGAACAGACACTTGATTTACATGTTTTTAGTCTTGCGGCATGTGTGTAACAATTTACATAAGAATGGTCAAAAAAATTTAATTATCGTGCAAAAATGTACTTAAAATGGATTTATGTCATTTACTTCAGACTGGTTTTATATGGCAATTTATAAAACGGATAGTTCCGGTCCTTGATTCTGATTGGTTGAGCCGCGTTCGAAGCTGTTGTAAATTACTCTACAAACATACACCTTTGTTTACGTTTGTCTGTTGCTTGGCAACCACTTTGTTGCAACCACAACTGATTCTGAGGAACTACATTGTTTGGTGGAAGAATACTGTTTTTATTAATATCATTACACTTTATTTGCTCCGTTTTATTTTGTGAAACCTTACTACGTATATGGAATAACCGTTTTATAGAAGCAATAAGCCCCAAGAAGCCATGGGTTACAGTGAATTTATAACAGCTAAGGGGGTTTACAACGCCCCTTAGCTGTTATAAATTCACTGTAAACCATGGCTTCTTGGGGCTTATTGCTTTATTATGTACGGGTGGTTTATGTATAATACATACAGAAATTTGTTCTTCTTACGCACAATTTAAGGACAAACATTTATACACAAAAACGTTCTGCGTGTACGAAAATTTAAATAAAATGAGTTTCATGAATGGGTCCCTTTTGTTTTTTTAGCCGGCACAAAGTTTGGCAGATCCAGTTTTGGCTAAAGATTACAAATAACGTGGACGAATATACAACGAACAACCAGTCATAGCACAGACACACATCTGTACACAGTCAAACAAAACCCACACGCACACATATTAAATGTGCAGCAATGTATTCCAGCCGATTCATACTGATCGACGTGTTAAGGCAACGGCAGAGCTTGGGTATAAAATAGTGCTATAGAGTAAACTGGTTTGAGGGGGCTGCCTGTAAACTACGTTTGTAAACAATATTTTTACGGGCCGTTCGAAAGATGTGTAAACGTTTACAGCAAAGTGCTACAGGCGCTATCGAACACTGTGGATCATGCTGAACTACTTTGGCATCAGGACGGAGTTTTGCTTGTCCTACGAACGTAAAATAGTCCTGATAAAGGCAGCAGAAAGCGAGACTACACGGAGACTTTCGAGTTTAACGTAGAGGAACACCGATCAGCTGTTGCGTAATGATTATGTGGCTGTCGTGATGGCCCTGTATTATATTATGATGGTCAAAAGTTCAACGCCTGATTCACAATTCACAAAAATACGTTAATATTTTGTCCCATCACACATAAATTGTTCACCGACAAACATGATACATCAGATGAATTTGTCCTGTCAAATTTTGGGCCTTCTGTGGTGTAAGTGCATTGTGTGTGTGTGTGTGTGTGTGTATAAGGAGAACTGCTGAGACTCAATCTCAGGGGCTCACATACACACACCCATCAAAGAAAAGAGGGTTGTGAGGTCAACCTTTAGCATAGGTGTGTGTATGCGTGCATGTGTGTGTGTGTGTGCTTGTGAGAGCGATTATGACACATGGGCACTTTTTACATCTTTACAAATAAAGAAAAAAGAAAGAAATCAAAAACATGAACAGTTTCAGGCAACAAGACCACAGAAGAGCAAGTTAACAACCTTTTTTAAATCTACATCTTTAAATATGAGGGTTCCATACAAAACACTTACGTAATAAAATACCCATGTTATCAAATAATTTCACAAGTAAAACACTGAAGCTGTAGGCAGGATGTACCGTCAGAATTTGGCACTAAATTCCACTCATCTTTATAAGAAAAAAAAAAAAAATCACATTTTTGCTGAACAACATAACACATCTAAATATTGTTTCCCACAATAGAAATGAAATAATATAAATGACATAGATGCTTCACAAGCCGACACTGTAACGTTTAAGAATTTTTATATAGCTAATTACCCAACAAGAAATTTAGCAGAGGGACTCCTATCAAAAAAACTAAAAAAACAAAAACAAAAACAAAAAAAACAAAAAAGATTCATAATAAAAAAACAAGGAAAATAACAAACAAACAAAATAAAAAGAGTAGTAGTAATAGTACTTATGAAAGGCTTTGTCTATTGTTCAAGTAAATTGATTTTTAGTCTTCTCTTTAAAAACATGAGACAAATAAGACTGTTAGACTTGATGAAACCACGACTTTCTTTACGAAAAGCACCGACGGGACCGCGGGTTACACAAACTCTGTTTTTTTTTTCCTCTATACATTTAAACAGTATAAAATATAGGTCATTTCATGTGCATTTAAACCACAGATTGTCTAACTGTAAGTCAGTTCAGCAAAAGGTGTGACACGTAGGTAGCATTTCCCCCCAAACAGGGCAGTCTTGTGTGTGTGTGTGTGTGTGTGTGTGTGTTTGTGTGTGTGTTTTTAATAACTTTACTACTCTAGAAAAAAGTGGTTTTATATAGACTTTAATGAGAAATCAAGCCACTTAAAATGGCCTTATCAAAAAACTTTACACTGCCTGGAAAATGTAAAAACCACGAGCAAGCTCTGGGAGATTCTAATATTGATCTTTTTTTTTATTTTTATTAAAACTGCGTGGAAGTAGTCTATTCGTTTAGAAACCAGCATGGGTTTCTTACGGCAGGCCTCAAATTAAGAGTGTTGCCAACAGTAAGTCCCAACGCCAATCCCTGTATTGAACGTTCAAGTTTACTTGAAATGAATGAAAAACAAACAAACAAAACAAAAAAACAACAACAATATATAAAGAGAGAGAGAGAGAAAACAATCTGACAAATAAAAAAGAAAGAAAAAAGTCAAACGTAAATATTCGTAATTGTTTTGCCACAGGATTTATTTATTTTTCTGTTTTCTGTTTTCTTAAAATGATGCTCTGGTTATGTTAGTAAATATACTCTGTCTCTAGAGTGTGAATGCAGCGTTTTCACATTATTATTATTGTTTTTTTTTTGTCTTTCCTCCCTTCCTTCACTCCCTTGCTCCCTCCCTCCCTCACCAGTTAATCTAAACAAACAAAAAACAAAACAGAAACCAAAACAAACACAAGAAAAAAAAGGTCAAAATGAGGTCACATGCGAAACTTTTCCAAAAAAAGATCAGGCTAAGATCAAAGTACAAAGATCAGTAAAAGGAGACCAGATTATGAGCAGGAGAACTCAGAAAGACATCAGAAATAATGACGGGACGATGAGACTTTTTTTTTTTTGTACGCCACGTAGACATGCTAGGCAAACGATGAGCATAGAGTCATGGAGATGAGTTCTAGGGAAGAAAACGGGAGAGGAGAGTTACACACACAGCTCCGGCACACAACTAACATCATTAAACCATGAGAACAACAAACAAACAAACAAACAAAACAAACAAACAAACAACAGCAGCAGCGCTATTAACCAGCGTTTCACCAACATCACATTAGCATTTTTTTTTTTCGTACAGTACACAAATTTTGAATAAATTGCCAACATGTACACGTAAATGAGGCACTCGCTCACACAGAGAATACAAATACACACTCCATCTCCTCAATACAGACATACACCCAAAGGTATCCATCCTGGTCCGAGACCTCAGATGGATC